ATGCCGCCGCCATGCCGCCGCCACGCCACTGCCGCCGCCGCCATGCCGCCGCCATGCCGCCGCCATGCCGCCGCCACGCCACTGCCGCCGCCGCCATGCCACCGCCACGCCACTGCCGCCGCCGCCACGCCACTGCCGCCGCCGCCATGCCAACGCCGCCACCGCCCCGCGGACTGAAAGCCGCTCCGGGTGAAAACCTGCTTTGTGCTGAACCACAAAGGCCCGGCTGGTTTCAGCCTGGGCCCAACAGCTACAGGAGCCAGGTCCCCCTCCCCCACTCGTTGCTGTCCATTAGCAGCACAGTGTGTGTCGGGGGGCAGGAGTGGAGAACAAACAACAACAAACAAAAGACCAAAGTGGAGCAAGGAGCAGGGGCAGAGCTTCTGTGTGAAATAATTGCGAGAACCATTTCAAACAGATGTCCGTTTGGACTTGGCTCTGGACTCGTGTCTCTGTTAAATATAGTGATTTGATTGGAAAACAGGCGCCGCAAAGCGGGCCGCCGGCCAGGCAGAGCATTCGAGGGGTTGCTAATGACCCCAGGGGTCACGGGGTCACCGGAGTAAAAGCAGATCAGAGAGGATGTGGAGCCGGCGGCCATAAATCCGGCCGCTTCTCTCAGGAAGCCGTCGCTTTCAGCTCAGCGCCGTAATTAAAATCCAATCACAATCGTCACTTTGTTGCCCCAGAGTGAAGGTTATAATTCATCGCTGGCAGACGCAGATGGGGCCAAGGGTCACTCCGGCTGGTGGCCGCAGGGAATTCTGGGAAACATCTTGTCTGACATGAGAAAAACTCAAAGATTTGGTTCAGCAGCTTTTCAGCAGCTTTTCAGTTTACCTGTTGAAGTTCAGCCTGAGATTCAGGAATCTCTTCAGAAAGCATCGAGATCCTGCAGCTGCATATCCTGACCGGACCGCAGAAACGGACTGGACCGCAGGACCGTTTGTAAAGCTGCTTGGTGGCGACCCGGTCCGGTCCGGTTCAACTCAGTTCAAAGTTGAACTCAGTTCAAAGTCTCATCTTATGAGACTGAGTTTTAACTTTAATGAGTTGATTCTCATTTGGTTCTGAATATTTCTGAGGCATTTTGTCTTCAAAGCGTTTGATAAGAAGAATGAAATCAGAAAGTTTCACTGGCTGAACGTTTCGCTACATTAATTTTTCCATGAGCTCCTCTAAGCTGGACTTGCAGATTTGTTGCTTGCTGATCATTTATGTGGCAAAAACAAACATTATTTTTACATCATCTAATAAGTTATGTGAAACTTCTCCAATTAAAATGATCTGAAGGCTCAGAATCAACCTGGTACCAGGACCGGTACCGGTACTGGTACCGGTACTGGTCCACATTCTCAGGAGAGAAAGACTCACCTGGTGTAATTTACAGTTTTAGCTATTGGAGTAAGAGAAAGTAATTTAATCAAAGAATGTTTTCCAGCTTTAGAGCTGCATTGATCCAGTTTTCTTCCTGGTTATTGATCTGTAAAGATCCTGACCTGCTGATTTGGATTTTGGCCAATACCAATTGTTTTCTGAAGCAATAAAGTCGGTTAATATTCAACAGTGGGCTGAATATTAACTGTAATGTTCAGGTCTGACCTTCTCACTGCAGAGGCTGATTTATAAACTTTTGCTGACCAAGATAAGATCAGCTTCAAGAGTTTTAGTCGATCCCCCAAAATGAAGGAAATCAGTGGCAATAAATGTATCCAATACGATACATGCATATAAGATATAATGTAAACATCACTGTCAGAGATTCAATATGTTCAGCAAGTGAAGGATCTAATCATTGGTCTGTTGATAGCAGCCAGTTAGCAGAGACAGAGGGCCCCATTCGGGCCCCATGAAGGCGCGGGCCGGCCCTGCACAGTTCCACCTCCCGTCCTTTGGGAAACCCACGGAAAGCAGAGCAAAGTGTGGGAGGAAGCCAGAAACCCGGAGAGGGAGAACAGGGAAACCACTGAGCAACCCGACGACACTCTCCATGTTGAACTTATGATGCTGGATTAGGATTAATTCAACTCAACTAGGAATCTGGATCAGTTCTGCTGAAATAACCCAGTTTCATGTGGAAATGAGGGTTTATCACCACTGAGCTAATGGCGCCATCTTATGGGCAACAGGAAAAGCTTTCAAACTGAAAATATCACGTGTGGAGACGTTTCCTCCCAGCTGCCACTGCCGATCCAAACTTCTTCTCAGCACAGATTTGGTTCCTTTCAAAAGCTCTGATTGGGATATTTTATGCATCTTTTTAAAACGCCAAAGAAACACATGCAGTTTGGACAAAATCACAATTCATCATAATAAAAGTTAAAAAGTAAGAATTCATGTAGAACTCAAACGTTTCATTGTTCATTCAGCATTTCCAACGTGTGCAAACATATAAATGAATCGGATCACAAAACATGACAATCAGAGAATCACAAAGTCATATGAAGAATCGTCCCTCAGTGCAGGAGACGAGCCGAGCTGAAGGTCCAAAGCTGACGCCGATCAGAGACCCGGCCGTTTAGCAGCAACAGCAGAAATCATCTGGGATTATGGCCACAGACACCATCTGATGCGTTTTAGCAATACTTATATTTTCCTGGTAATCTGCATCCCTTTTCATCATTGCTTTCTAACTGACAGGTTTTTCAGTGGTTTGGTGACGGTGTGGAATCAGACGCAGATTGAGTTCAGAGCATCTCTTTAACTCTGAGCTTCAGTGTCCAGAGCAAGTGGAGCCCAGAGAGAACCAGGCTCCGAAAGCTTCAGCATGTCCACTAATCCGGTTTCAGGACATCCCAGTCACTTCCAGCTCAGATTTGGGAAGCAGGTTTCCACCCGAATGCAAACCCGGTTCACTGAATGCTTGACCCTAAGACCTCTGACCTTCTTCTTCTCTAGTTACCATCCTATGACTAGTTACCATCCTATGACTGGTTAGCATCATATGACTAGCTAGCATCATATGACTAGTTACCATCCTATGACTGGTTAGCATCATATGACTAGTTACTATCATATGACTGGTTAGCATCATATGACTAGTTAGCATCATATGACTGGTTAGCATCATATGACTAGTTACTATCATATGACTGGTTAGCATCATATGACTAGTTACTATCATATGACTGGTTAGCATCATATGACTGATTAGCATCATATGACTGGTTAGCATCATATGACTAGCTAGCATCATATGACTAGTTACCATCATATGACTAGTTACTATCATATGACTGGTTAGCATCATATGACTAGTTACCATCCTATGACTGGTTAGCATCATATGACTGGTTAGCATCATATGACTAGTTACCATCATATGACTGGTTACCATCCTATGACTAGTTACCATCCTATGACTGGTTAGCATCATATGACTAGTTACTATCATATGACTGGTTAGCATCATATGACTAGTTAGCATCATATGACTGGTTAGCATCATATGACTAGTTACTATCATATGACTGGTTAGCATCATATGACTAGTTACTATCATATGACTGGTTAGCATCCTATGACTGGTTAGCATCATATGACTGGTTAGCATCATATGACTAGTTACTATCATATGACTGGTTAGCATCCTATGACTGGTTAGCATCATATGACTGGTTAGCATCATATGACTAGCTAGCATCATATGACTAGTTACCATCATATGACTAGTTACTATCATATGACTGGTTAGCATCATATGACTAGTTACCATCCTATGACTGGTTAGCATCATATGACTAGCTAGCATCATATGACTAGTTACCATCCTATGACTGGTTAGCATCATATGACTAGTTACTATCATATGACTGGTTAGCATCATATGACTAGTTACCATCATATGACTGGTTAGCATCCTATGACTGGTTAGCATCATATGACTAGTTACTATCCTATGACTGGTTAGCATCATATGACTAGTTACCATCCTATGACTGGTTAGCATCATATGACTAGTTACTATCATATGACTGGTTAGCATCATATGACTAGTTACCATCCTATGACTGGTTAGCATCATATGACTAGTTACCATCATATGACTGGTTAGCATCCTATGACTGGTTAGCATCATATGACTAGTTACTATCCTATGACTGGTTAGCATCATATGACTAGTTACTATCATATGACTGGTTAGCATCATATGACTAGTTACCATCCTATGACTGGTTAGCATCATATGACTAGTTACCATCATATGACTGGTTAGCATCCTATGACTGGTTAGCATCATATGACTAGTTACTATCATATGACTGGTTAGCATCATATGACTGGTTAGCATCCTATGACTGGTTAGCATCATATGACTAGTTACCATCATATGACTGGTTAGCATCATATGACTAGTTACCATCATATGACTGGTTAGCATCATATGACTAGTTACCATCATATGACTAGTTACCAGGCCAGTTAACCTGGAGCCTTGAGTTGTGCTCTTTATCATCTGCGTTCTTGCGGAGCTAACATCACTTCTGGTGATGTTAGCAGGTTTCTGCTGCTGCCTCCGTCTCTGATGTGGAGAGACTTTGATTGTTGTGATTCAGTTTCTTTGGTCTTTGTGCTGTAAGTGTGGAAGATGTTTTCTCCACAGATGGCAGATTGAGCTTCGATCTCAACTTCATTCGCAGACCTGTCAGCAGATATTTCTGTTCAGAACCTCAACAAATGGAGACGCTTTGATGCACATTTGAGTTGCATCCTGTACATCGGACACATTATTATTATTTTTCTTAAATAGTTTAGTATTGACTTTAGTTGAATGATTTTGTGTTTAATATACTTTAGCGTATTGATGATTCCTTTTTGTAATTAATTTGGTTTTGTTCATTGGTGGCTCTTGGACCGTCTATAAATAGGCTGGATTGCCGCAGTTTGGCAGCTGCCGCCCGCCCTGCCGCCCGCCCTGCCATCTTTCAGCCCGCCCTGCCGCCCGCCCTGCCGCCCGCCCTGCCATCTTTCAGCCCGCCCTGCCGCTCGCCCTGCCGCCACCTAGAATGCGTCCTGACGAGGCGCGCACGTTTCCAGCGGCTGCAGGCCGCATGTCGTCCAGCCTGCTGTTGGGTATTTTTGTTAGTTGTTTGTTTTTGGGTCATTTTGTCCTGGTGAGACGGGTTGTCCTGTTTTTGACTCTTTTGTTTCAGTAGATTATTGTCCTTTGGTAGCAGGGGCTTGACGGCCCTGTGTCGGGTCGGCCCCCTGCTGCTCCGTTTTCACCAGATCCACCTTTCTGTTGATACTTTTGGAATGTTTTATTTTTTTGGGACTTGGCGAAAGGAGGATATTTAATTCTCCTTTTTTTCCTTCACAGGAAGGAAATGTCTAATGTGAAACCCGACCAGCTGGTCCCAAAGCCACATGGAGGTTCCTCACATGAGAAGCGAGTGGTTTCTGTGCTTCAGCCTGAATCTGACTAAACTGGGTCCAATAGAACCTATTGGGTCCAAAGGTTTCAATCTTTATGGACTAAATGGAACCACAAATGGACTGTTTCGACAGATGCTCCAATCGGGCTGGTGGGATTACATTTGGACCCGTTGGGTTCTGTTGGACTGTACGGATTGTGAAAATGTTTTCCAGGTATCGATTGGAATGTCGGTCATTTCTCCAGGTGACGAGTTTTTATCCGACATCTCTGGGTGAAGAAGCTCATCTCGGCGCCTCACCTTCCCTTCACGGTGTTGAAGAGCCGGATGCCGTCAGCCGGACCGCATATCTGGGTCAGATCCTCTCTGCTCATCCTCAACAGGTCTGCTCCTAAAACGCGAGCAAAAGCTACAAGTTCTTCTCTGACAGATCCAGCAGCGTCCGCTCCTCCAGGTACAGGGCGTGGTAACCGCACACAGGAAGCCGACTTCAACCAGACCACACACAGCAAGGCAACCCGCAGGACCCGATCCACCGGAACCGACCTGCCTCAAGCTTTACAGACGTATCAGAATCTGACCTGCTGACAGATATTCAGAACCAATCAGAAACAGGCCATTGATTGGAGCCTCTCTAACATTCAGCTCCTGACTGAAGGACAACAAAACGAAAATCATGTTTTGTTTTCTCAGGTTCTGTTGGGCCGCTTCCAGCCAACACAAGTGTCTGTCCTGCTGCTCATCGTTTGGTTGGATGGATGGGTGGTTGGATGGTTGGTTGGTTGGTTGGTTGGTGGTGGTTGGTTGGTTGGTTGGTTGGTTGGTTAGTTGGATGGATGGTTGGTTTGATGGTTGGTTGGTTGGTTGGATGGATCGATGGTTGGATGGTTGGTTGGTTAGTTGGATGGATGGATGGTTGGTTTGATGGTTGGTTGGTTGGTTGGATGGATGGTTGGTTTGATGGTTGGTTGGTTGGATGGATGGTTGGTTGGTTGGATGGTTGGTTGGATGGATGGATGGATGGTTGGTTGGTTTGATGGTTGGTTGGATGGATGGTTGGAAAGATGGTTGGTTGGATGGTTGGTTGGATGGATGGATGGATGGATGGATGGTTGGTTGGTTGGCAGGATGGTTGGTTGGTTTGTTGGATGGATGGTTGGTTGGATGGATGGTTGGTTGGTTGGTTGGTTGGTTGGTTGAATGGATGGTTGGTCGGTTGGTTGGATGGTTGGTTGGCTGGATGGATGGGTCGGTGGGTTGGTTGGATGGATGGTTGGTCGGTGGGTTGGATGGTTGGTTGGTTGGATGGATGGTTGCTTGGATGGATGGTGGTTGGTTGGATGGATGGATGTTGGTTGGTTGGTGGTTGGATGGTTCGTAGGTCGGTCGGTCGGTCGGTTGGATGGATGGATGGTGGTTGGTTGATGATGGTTGGTTGGTTGGTTGGATGGATGGTTGGTTGGTTGGTTGGTTGGTTGGTTGGTTGGTTGGTTGGATGGTTGCTTGGATGGATGGTTGGTTGGTTGGATGGATGGATGTTGGTTGGTTGGTTGGTTGGATGGTTCGTAGGTCGGTCGGTCGGTCGGTTGGATGGATGGTTGGTTTGGTGGTTGGATGGATGGTTGGTTGGTTGGTTGGTTGGATGGATGGTTGGTTTGATGGTTGGTTGGTTGGATGGATGGTTGGTTTGAGGATTGGTTGGTTGGATGGATGGTTAGTTGGATGGTTGGTTGGTTGGTTGGTTGGTTGGTTGGTTGGGGTCGGTCGGTCGGTGGTCGGATGGTTGGTTGGTTGGTGGTTGGTTGGATGGATGGTTGGTTGGTTGGATGGTTGGTCGGTTGGTTGGATGGTTGGTGGCTGGATGGGTGGTCGGTTGGTTGGATGGATGGTTGGTCGGTGGGTTGGTGTGGTGGTTGGATGGTTGGTTGGATGGATGGTTGGTTGGTTGGTTGGTTGGTTGGTTGGTTGGTTGGTTGGATGGTTGCTTGGATGGTTGGTTGGATGGTTGGTTGGATGGATGGTTGGTCGGTGGGTTGGATGGTTGGTGGGTTGGATGGTGGTGGTGTTGGTTGGTTGGTTGGTTGGTTGGATGGTTGGTCGGTGGGTTGGATGGTTGGTGGGTTGG